CTGCTCCCTGCTTCAAGGTATGTGTCCTTCATCAATCATCAAGGGATGTGCCCATCAATCATCAAGGGATGTGCCCTTCATCAATCAAGGGATGTGCCCTTCATCAATCAAGGGATGTGCCCTTCATCAATCATCAAGGGATGTGCCCTTCATCAATCATCAAGGGATGTGCCCTTCATCAATCAAGGGATGTGCACTTCATCCATCATCAAGGGATGTGCACTTCATCAATCATCAAGGGATGTGCACTTCATCAATCATCAAGGGATGTGCACTTCATCAATCATCAAGGGATGTGCCCTTCATCAATCATCAAGGGATGTGCCCTTCATCAATCAAGGGATGTGCCCTTCATCAAGGGATGTGCACTTCATCAATCATCAAGGGATGTGCATCAATCAAGGGATGTGATCTTCATCAATCATCAAGGGATGTGCACTTCATCAATCAAGGGATGTGCTCTTTATCAATCATCAAGGGATGTGCACTTCATCAATCAAGGGATATGCACTTCATCAATCAAGGGATATGCACTTCATCAATCAAGGGATGTGCACTTCATCAATCATCAAGGGATGTGCCCTTCATCAATCATCAAGGGATGTGCCCTTCATCAATCATCAAGGGATGTGCACTTCATCAATCATCAAGGGATGTGCCCTTCATCAATCATCAAGGGATGTGCCCTTCATCAATCATCAAGGGATGTGCCCTTCATCAATCAAGGGATGTGCCCTTCATCAATCAAGGGATGTGCCCTTCATCAATCATCAAGGGATGTGCACTTCATCAATCATCAAGGGATGTGCCCTTCATCAAACAAAGGGATGTGCCCTTCATCAATCATCAAGGGATGTGCACTTCATCAATCATCAAGGGATGTGCCCTTCATCAATCAAGGGATGTGCACTTCATCAATCATCAAGGAATGTGCACTTCATCAATCATCAAGGAATGTGCTCTTCATCAATCATCAAGGGATGTGCACTTCATCAATCATCAAGGGATGTGCCCTTCATCAAACAAAGGGATGTGCCCTTCATCAATCATCAAGGGATGTGCACTTCATCAATCATCAAGGGATGTGCCCTTCATCAAGGGATGTGCCCTTCATCAATCATCGAGGGATGTGCCCTTCGTCAATCATCAAGGGATGTGCCCTTCATCAATCATCAAGGGTTGTGCTCTTCATCAATCATCAAGGGTTGTGCACTTCATCAATCAGCCTGTCCCCTTCAGGCAGCTATCTGAATGTTGACCTTATCCTCCCTGAGATTTACAAATCTCAATCTTGATGGCAGACCCACAAGGCAGAGATCCCAGATGCCCCTCCTAACCTTTGAAGAAATTATAATATGGCCACCCGTAACGACCACACCAGCCAGGTGTCACCTGCAGTCCTGTGCGGGTAAGGACCATGGTGCCATGTCTCTGCTGTTGGTAGTAGGCAACCATCTGTCCCTGGAGACGTGCCGCTGGTTTTGAGAACTGTGTCAGCCATGACTGTAAAGTCCAATGCGGGAGTGGCAGTCTCTGCCAGGTAGTCCACGTTAAAATATTGTTACACTATTGTTCTGAGGCTGGTATTCTCTGAGACGTCTCCTCTCTATAGCTTGCTGCATTTGGCCTCTTTCAAACTGCGGCAGTCTGTCTTTCATTGTCTGTCTTCAAAGGAGTCAGTCTGCAGCTGATCTATCTGAAGTGTCTGTCAGGCGGCGCTTGCATATCTCCTAGTGTATGTAGCTTTAGCCTTCTTGCAGGTCTTTTCCTGTCACCAGTTTAGAAGATCCTTTGTAATGCGGCAATCCTCCTTTGTCTTATATCAATTGATACCAGTGGTTGCCAAGACGTTTCTCTTCTTGTTCAGACTACAGCAGGTAAAAAACTTTAGTTAATCCACCTAAGACCACATCATAACAACTAAGACTACACACACACACACAAAATTCAAGGATTAGGTGACAGCAAATCAAATATTTTAGTTAGCATTAATACCAGGTAATAACCCAAAAAGACTGTAAGAACAAAAATATTGAGGTTTAGATTAAGGGAAATCAAATATCTTGGTCAACATTATATATAAGACCATGCCATAACAACATACACTGAAAAAACAAAAACATCAAGGTTTAGACGACAGCAAATCAAATATCTTAGTCAACAACTCTCTTTAAGATGAGGTCATAACAACTAAGACTTAAAAAACAAAAACATCAAAGTATAGACTACGGAAAATCACATACCTTGGTCAATATTCTAAGAACATGTCATAACTGAGACTATGTTTACACACAAAATGCATGGCTAAGACTTGGAGAGGGTGAGGGAGGGACCTAAGCTGAAATTGTGCCAAAACATAAAATGTAATTTAACTGAGAATGACAGATGAGCTGAAATCAAGCAGCAGAGACACAACATGAGAGCCACACGAGGCGGAGGACAACACAGTGGCCACAGACTGGCCCATGCATCAATTTACCTGCAGATGCAACTGAACCGAGAGAGGTGACTGTGAGAAAATGGAGAAACAAACAATATCTTCAATCCTTATCTGAAAAGTCAGTCATGTTTTCTATGTCTCAATTCCTACATCTGCCCTTCACACTCATAAAAAAAAAACTATACTGAAAGGACAACTTCAATGCAGTAGGGTTTCCCTCATATATGGCTTCACAAGAAGCTGCCCACCTACTGTGGTTGTAGAGGCTAGACAATCGCATGTGGGCCGGAAGGTTGTGAGATCAAATCAACATTCCCTCAGATTATTTTAAATATAAGGACACAGTTTAAAAATCAAACGCAAAAACTGTACCAGATCAACAAACAAATAAAAATGAACTTAATAAAACCCTATAAAAATGGACCCCCCCCCCCGCCCCCCCCCCCCCCCCCCCCCCCCCAAGTTGACCCAGCTTGATGTTGACTAGCCCAATATGATTGGAAAAAAGGCCCTTATTAATGACTGCATAGAATATACAGCTAGCTCTTGGAGGTCATTTGGATATGCCTACTCTCCTATCAAGTGGAGACTGACTGACTTTCTATACCCCACCAGGACATCACACAAGCGATAAACACCGGATGACACAATGTGCCACCATGTGGGTGAGGATCACTGTGGAGAGGTCCCAGAAACCGCGTTCAGCCTTTGGGAGAGGCTATATTGGGGCCCCTGGCAAGAGCCAGAGTAGGGCTTCAAAAAACGAAAGATTTTATCCTGAAAAGGACGGGAGGTATAGGAATGATCAAGTGGAGACAGAAACACGGACAAGTTATTCCATACAAAATATGCCATTCCGTTCATTCAAGAAGTCATGTATTCAGTCATGTATTTGAACCCAGTTTCCTTGACCTTCTGGCACTGGGTTCTCTTTGACCTTCAAATATCCAACAACCCCTACTCACCACCACAGTTTGCTGCAGCTCTAACCCTATCTATTTAGCCCCAGACATGTGTAACACATTATTTCCTATAAATCTGTTACTAAATGTGAGACATACACGAGTTGGAACCAGTTGAAACAAAAATAACACTATACGACAAAACAGGTTACAGTAAACATTGAAACAGAGTGGGTTAATGCATCAGTGAAACTGGAACAGGGAGTTTGAAAAGTCAAATTTGATAATGTTTAATCCGTAATGTATGACAATCTGCTTGGCTGTGAAAGCATCAAAATGAAATGCTTAAATTTCACGTCCTCTAATTGCCTGTTTTTATCAATTCTGTTCTATGTGATCTTGTCTAATAAATAATCCAGATTCCACTCTTTGGGCATTGAGGAACATTTTATAATATAAAACTGAAAAATCCCTGTCTGTCTGTATATTTGTCTGTCACAAGAACACCTCCCAAACAGTCGTCAACAGAGGGGTGAAATTTGCAGATGTTATTCTGGCTGCAATGTCTAGGTCAGAAGTGCTATTTACAACAAGGTTTCTATGTATGCATATGTATATATTAACTTCCCTTTAAGAACGATAGTTGGTTGGGGAGGGGGGGGGGGGAACAACCTAATATTTTGTTGTCATCTCCCTTCACACACCCTTCCTGGACAGTAGCTGTCATTGCTTTTTAGCAACAAGAGCTGCAAAATGTAATGGAATTTTTATATTTGGATACTTACTTTGTATCACATATTGATTTAAAACTAACTTAACTCTGCTTTAGGGCCAAAAGAGTTCCAGTCTTTATAATTAAAACTATTTAACATCTAAAATTCTATTCGAGAAGTAAAAAGACTGTAGGTGTAAATGTTTTATGTGGCTAGTTCTGGTAGCCATTTTGTTGCTCTCAGCTATAGAACAATTTAAGAGAAAAGTTAAAAATTTGTATTTTATCTAATTACTTGGCACGTATATTCTTGCTTATGGATGCACCACTATTCTGTTAAGCAAAAAAACGGTGACTGGCTGGTATTTGAACCCTGCCTTAAACATCTTATATGATGACTGCCTACAACTGAACCATTACTTGATTAAAGTGAAACACTTTGATAGAGCAATATTTTGAACCCTGTCCCGAAAACTTTGTGGGATGAATGGCTGCCTGAAACTGCAACATTACACTCTACAAGGAAACCCTGTGACTGGCCGGTATCTGGACCCAAACCCAGGCAACCAGTGTGTAACTGTGGATTATCTGTGTCCTTTTGGCCAAACACATACAATATATGCAAACTAGTGATTGGTTACCTTTTATGACATGCCTATTAGATGGGGGGGGGGGGTGGGGGGTTATCTTCTTCCCAAAACTCACATGGGGCAACCTGGCCCCTAAAAAAGTAACAGACCGCAGATTTTGTTTAATCTGTTTCCTAAACCAGGCAGCTGCCATCTTTCTAAATAAAAGTTGATCTATAAGTACAGTATAAAGAATACCCACAACCTTCAAATATCACCTCGTAATAAAAGATAATAAACAAGCCAATAAATCAGAATATAAGGGGTCAAAGAGCAAGGCACTGTAAGTAAAGACAGGAGATAGTTAACTGACTTACATGTCTGTCCCTGCCAAAGGAGATTGGCTCGTCGTTATGACTGGCCAGAGAAAGGCTGGCCACGCTGCTCTGACTGCTGGCTGCGTTGCTCTGTTGGCTTTTTAGACTGTCTGACTTGCCATCTAAGTTGTCATCGTCCTGGAATCAAGAAATATTGGCCAGGTTATTTTGGATGTTTCAACCAATTCACTATGGTTATCTACATTTTAATCCTGCTATCATCTGTCAAAGCGAAGACAAAGCTTTTTCAAAACCTGTTTTCTATCAGTGGAAGGAGAATTTTTTTTAAACCTAAGGACGAGGTGGGGGGGGGGGGGGGGGGGGGGGGGGGGGTCAAAGAGAATACAGTGCCAGAAAGTCAAGGAAACTGGGTTCAAAGGGTTAAAGTGTTGTGTATCAAGGGAAAGTCACCATGTTTGAATACACGACTTCTTGTATGAACAGAAAGATATATGGTTTATAGAATAACTTGTCCTCATTTCTGTGTCTCCACTCTGTGGCCATAAAAGAGTGTATGCCTGTTAAATCTTCTAATTTTTTTAAAGAACAAAATTATTTACAGAGAAGTGCTGACAGTGTGTGCCCTGGGCGAAAAGTAAGCAAGAAACAGAAACAATGTAACCCAATAAGTAGGCTACTAGTGGTGACAAAGGAGGTCTTCCTATAGGAAACAGTAGGTTTAGAGAACATTTGCTATGCCACTATGCGGAGAATGCTTTTCACACTATATCAGCATCTGATCCTGTCAGTGGTTGATTATGGCCTGGGACTGCTTACCGTCTCAAAGAGTCAGATGGACAAACTAGAGCGCATACAGAACGCGGCTTTGCGGGTCATTCTGGGTTGCACCAGAGACACCCCAGTGGTGTGTATGCGATACATCCTTGGTTTGCAGATTGATGCAGGTAGGCACAAGATGCAGAAGAAGTCATATCTCAGGGTAGCTGCAGACCCAGACTACCCTTTGCACAAAGCTCTGTGTGCAGTTAAGGGTCAGCGGCTGATAAGAGGGAAGTCTTGGATGGCTCAGGCAGAAGACACAATCAGACAGGTTTGCATTGTTGAGAACATTGGGCGAGGAGAGGAGTGGGTCAAAGTGCCACCTGAACAGTCAGACTTGTAGGGTCATAATCACACTGAGCCGAGAATACAGAGACTGGCAAGCGGGTGCAACGAAGGTGGAAATTCAGCAATTAACTCAAGACAATGCTCGCTCAGAGGATTTGATCATTTACACAGACGGTTCAATGTCAGGAGGCAAAAGAAGTGCTTGGGGTTTCTTGGCAAAAGTTAATGGTCGAAGTTTAGTACAGGAGAGCCTAAAATATGATACCACAACATCCAGTTTAAAAATGGAGGTGGAGGCGGTCACTGCAGCTTTCTGCTGGTTAGAGAACATGACACACACACATCGTGATTGTAACTGACTCAGAAAGCATGCTGAGGAAGATCAGGACAGGCATGCTTCGTGCAGAGTGGTATGCCTCGCTGCGGAGGACACGGGTAAGGAGTATTGTCTGGATTTTTTCACCGGGTTGCGTCTGTGTGTTGGGAAATGAACAGGCGGACAGACTGGCTGACTCTGCACAATGTGGTGGAATACTGATGCATGATAAGGCAGACGTGGTTAGTGCCTTGTGGGAGAGCGTGTACAGTTCGGAGGAGCAGATGGATCACCAGTCTGGTGAGATTGATGCAGTGGGGAGTGACGAGAGGTTCTAGCAGATGCTCGAGGCTCAGAGAAAAGGCAAGATGGAGGTTTAATCAGAATGCTACTGGCACCATTAGTATCGGAACTCTACGCTGGCTGCTGAAGATGGGGACGGAGCGCTTATGGGAATGTCCTGAGTGCTGTGATGTCGGTTCTTGAATCAAATCAAACCAAATCTCTATGCCAGTGTTTCCCTCTGGTGGTCCAAGGACCTTTTCACTGCAACAATATGCGCTTGACTTAGCTGTGGAAGATTTGTGGACCTTTTCACTGCAACAATATGCGCTTGACTTAGCTGTGGAAGATTTGTGGACCTTTTCACTGCAACAATATGCACTTGACTTAGCTGTGGAAGATTTGTGGACCTTTTCACTGCAACAATATGCACTTGACTTAGCTGTGGAAGATCTGTGGACCTTTTCACTGCAACAATATGCACTTGACTTAGCTGTGGAAGATTTGTGGACCTTTTCACTGCAACAATATGCACTTGACTTAGCTGTGGAAGATCTGTGGACCTTTGCACTGCAACAATATGCACTTGACTTAGCTGTGGAAGATTTGTGGACCTTTTCACTGCAACAATATGCACTTGACTTAGCTGTGGAAGATTTGTGGACCTTTTCACTGCAACAATATGCACTTGACTTAGCTGTGGAAGATTTGTGGACCTTTTCACTGCAACAATATGCACTTGACTTAGCTGTGGAAGATCTGTGGACCTTTTCACTGCAACAATATGCACTTGACTTAGCTGTGGAAGATCTGTGGACCTTTTCACTGCAACAATATGCACTTGACTTAGCTGTGGAAGATTTGTGGACCTTTTCACTGCAACAATATGCGCATGACTTAGCTGTGGAAAATTTGTCATGAGCTCACACCTCTTCCAAAATATTCATGCCCAGTTTGTCAATGTTGTCTTCTACACAAATTTGTTACCGTGCGATGCCCGCATTCCTTGTCGAATTTCTACTAGTTGACAGCCTTCAAATGAAATAAACTGATCAATCACTGCACTCTGAGCTTAATTGGAGCAACCTGGCCATTTTCTTGGGGACAGAAACACAGCCTGTGCATTCTGGCACAATACTTACCTGCTTGTATTCCTTGGCCAGTACTTATCACATGACAATAACATGATTATGTTCAACGAAGGCAATTAGGCATGGAGGGACAAATAGGCTTCAAAGGAACGCTCTTAACAGAAAAGCTATTCTAGAAGAAGCTTGCTGTACTGTGGTCAAAGCCGTGAGGAGTCTGGATTGTCAACCTAGCTCACTTCACCTCGGAAAATCCCAGAACTGGCAGTCAAAATGTTATCACTAGCAATGAACTGGGAGAAAGTACAAGCAGTAGAAGAAATTTAACAGTTTAGCATTTCAAATGTCCGTGGACAATTATTTTAAATCTGGAAATAGCTCATTTAGGAAGGGCAGCGAGGAAATTCAGGAAGCTAATTTGGGAAAGGCAGTGAGGAGATTCAGGAAGCTAATTTGGGAAAGGCAGCGAGGAGATTCAGGAAGCTAGTTTAGGAAAGGCAGCGAGGAGATTCAGGAAGCTAGTTTAGGAAGGGCAGCGAGGAGATTCAGGAAGCTAGTTTAGGAAGGGCAGCGAGGAGATTCAGGAAGCTAGTTTAGGAAGGGCAGCGAGGAGATTCAGGAAGCTAGTTTAGGAAGGGCAGCGAGGAGATTCAGAAAGCTAGTTTAGGAAGGGCAGCGAGGAGATTCCGGAAGCTAGTTTAGGAAGGGCAGCGAGGAGATTCAGGAAGCTAGTTTAGGAAGGGCAGCGAGGAGATTCAGGAAGCTAGTTTAGGAAAGGCAGCAAGGAGATTCAGGAAGCTAATTTGGGAAAGGCGAGGAGATTCAGGAAGCTAGTTTAGGAAAGGCAGCGAGGAGATTCAGGAGACAGTACAAGACGACTTAATAAAAGAGTACAAGACAGACTTCATAAAAGCTGGTTACAGGCCTGTGCCAGAAAGTTCTGTAAAAATAAGTACCTGTGAGGAGTTATCATCTGGCACAACCAGGTCGTCGACACTGGTGACAGAGGAGCCCTCAAGTAAGTTCTCGTCGGTGCCTCCATTCATAATAAGCTTGTTGAGCCGTCGGTACTGGAGGTTGTCCAGCTGCTTCACAGCCATTTTAGTGCGTAGAATCAATTCTAGAATCACGTCCACTCGCCGCGTCTTTTTAACAAATGGATGCTAAAAGGTAAACATTAGCACAAGAACGATTACTTTTATATTCTAAAGATAAATGTTGATGCTACATTTATAATACAATGTTTACGCCACTTCTTCTTTTTCTTCAGCATTCCAAGCCTTTGAGGTTCATTGCTGCAGATATCACCCGCCTCCATTCATCTCTCTGGTTAGCCTTCTCTTTCCAGCTGGTAACACCAAGTGTTTGCAGGTCAGTCTGGATTTTATCTATCGTCTTTTTGGTCTCCCTTGTGGTCTACGACCAATCATCTCCCTGGTTATACAGTTTTTACTTCTATGTCATCTGACATTCACTCAAAATGCCCCAACCATTTGTCTATTTAGATATCATGATGCCAGTGATCAGTGGTGATTTAAACAGATTATGTTTACACCACTAACAATACTAAATAAATCAAATGTTCATGTCACAGAAACAATCTCACATACGATATACTATCTATGTCACAGATAATTGTCCACATCATAAATACACACATTATCAATCAGCAGGTCCTTTATGGAACACCAACCTCTTCCCGGCAAGCCTAAAAGTCTCTTTCTTTAGCCAATTTTCCCATCCTAGGCCTTTTCAAACCCAACGCATCTTTAATCTTGTATCCACTTTTGTGGAGGTCAGCTCCAGCCACCTTTTCCATAAACTGCACTCTCCACCATCACAGCTTTCTCAAGGCCACCTAAAGCATTAACATGGTCAAAATAGACCAGCTTTCGGGACAGGATGCTGTTCATGAAAATACACTTACAATGATTTGTTCCAAACATATTTTTTTTTTTCCCAACTGTCTTTAAAAACTTGTATTTTACCAAATATGAAGCGGTTAAGGAATGAATATACTCACACCTTAACAAGAAATCCACTTGACACAAAATCAATTTATGATAAGAACAGTGTGAAATGATAAACGTGATGACTGCTATGACCTGACTATAAATTACACACCAAGATTCCTTGGAGAACGAACGAAACACCATCTGGTTTTTATTTTTTACAAGTCAGAAATCAGATCAAAGAAACGAATGATATCCAGAGAATGAAGAAAGAATTTAAGCAGATTCGGTAGCTCCTTCCGTCTCGTCTGTGCCGTTTGATGACTCGGTCTCATTTGAATCTGTTTTTCCCTTCTTCTTTGGGGTTCCGTCTTCAGTATCCTCGTCTTTGTCTTCTGCAGGTCGTTTTTCTGCAGCACTCTCAGGTTCTGTATTTGATTCGGCTGCATCTGAACTGGCTTCATTTGTGGTTTTTTCTTTTGTTTCCTCTGACTTTTCTTCCTTTGTAGTTTGTTCTTCTACCTCTGGAGACTCTTCAGACTTTGCCTTCACATCTTCCACTGTTTTTGCAACAATGGGCTCTGTGGTGGTTTCTGGTGTCTCACCAGCAACCTCGTCTTTTGTTCCAGGCATGATGGAAATTTATAAAATGTAAAAATCACAAAGTGACGATGTTGGTGTCATCTTTCCTTTGGAGTTCACTAGACACACCAAGCAAGGGATCATGACTGACTGACTGACTTTCTACCCCACCAGGACATCACACAAGCGATAAACACCCGATGACACAAAGTGCCACCATGCGGATGAGGATCGCCGTGGAGAGGTCCCAGAAACCGCGTTCAGACATTTGGCCATATGTATGGCCTGCCTATATTGCGGCTCCTGGCAAAAGCCAGAGTGGGGCTTCAAATAACAAAAAATTACGTCCTGAAAAGGACGTAAACAAATAAAGCAAGGATTGGATTGGATTTTTTACCCCACCAGGACATCACACAAGCGATAAACACCCGATGACACAAAGTGCCACCATGCGGATGAGGATCACCGTGGAGAGGTCCCAGAAACCGCGTTCAGACATTTGGCCATAATGATGACCTGCCTATATTGCGGCCCCTGGCAAAAGCCAGAGTGGGGCTTCAAATAACAAAAAATAACGTCCTAAGAAGGACGAAAAGCAGGTAGCGAATAAAGCAAGGGATCATGCTAAATAGGCAACACATCTATACCATAAATCACAAACCCCTTCTGTATTTTGTGTGTTCACTATAAATTAACTGTTAACCTCTCCCAAACCGTGACCAATACATGGGTTAAATTTTCAGCGGCCATTATGGCTACAATGTGTAATTTGAGTTACATTCGCAGTTAGGTTACTTTGCATTTCTGTTATTTATTGCAACAATCAGTCAAAATAAACTTTTGCTGGAGTTATATCCCTTTAAATATTATTTTTCCCTCTTACATCCCTTAGATTAAAAAAAAATTACATTTCACTGTTATCTCCTTTGTAACACAGATTTTAAGCTGGGGCATTAGAAAAGGCTGTTGTTTTAAATGTCAAATTTTAACTCTGGGAGCATCCAGTAGAAAATTAAAAATGGATGGCTCATTTTGTGGTCGCTCCTCCGTGGATTTTCTACTACATTTACAGCAGTGGTGGAGACTAAAATGAGAACAAAACTTTCATTCACTATCCCGAGCGATTAAATCTAGTAGTCTCTAAATATCTAGGTTTTGTGCTATAGAGAGGAGCAAGTTGCCTGGCCTTTGCAGGGGCAGGGCGGGCGGGGAGAGGGGGGGAATGCTTAAGAATTAGAGGAAAGGCAAGACGGACGTTTAATGAAAATGCTACTGGCACCATTAGTATCGGAACTCTTCGCTGGCTGCTAAAGATGGGGACAGAGCGTTTATGGGAATGCCCCGAGTGCTGTGATGTCAGTTCTTGAATCAAATCAAAACAATCCTAGCCTTAATCAGCTGTGATTCCAATGTAACTTTATAACGTAAAAGAACATCATCATCTGGAAAGACAAAAAGGTGCCAACAAACCATACTATACTCTGGGCAGAAAGAAATGTATACCCTCAGATATCAACAAGAAAATCACTAAAGAAAAAAAAAAGAAGGAAGGGAGCCTCTAGTGCACTTACTTCTTCTTTCTCTGCGCTCACCAGCCGTAAACTTCAGCAGAAAGTTATGATTGCTCGACCACTTCTGGACTGTAGTCTTGTTTCATAACTTGAGCGCTGTGTGCACATCTGTTTTACAGATCTAGCTTATTTGTATGCAGACTGCTGGTTCCTTACCTCTCAAACAAATGCATTCTGACTTCGAAGGAAACTCCTAACTAGCCAACTCTTATGACATGCTTATTGGGGAAGGTAATGGGTCTATTCTTGTTTTCCCAATATTGGGGAGGTGTACTTACTGAAAGTAGTTCTGCAGCCGATGGCCGGTCCTTGGGTACTTTATGCAGGCAAGCATCCACAAAGTTGCGGAACTCGTCAGACCAGTCCCCGCCGGAGAGACTAGGAGAATCGTTCTGTGCTATATGGTACAAAGCACTCATGGCGTTCATGTTGAACAGAGGCGGCTTGCGTTCCGCTAGGAAATTCATCAGATTCTTATTTTATCAACATGATCTGGATAATTAGTATATTATCTTTATTTACATAGACAGCAAATTATCACATTCTTATCTTTATTAGCATGTGATCTGAAGAAAGGGTTACCTTCTTATCTTTACTGACATGATATGAAGATGTTACATACTCATATTTATCAAGGATGTGTGCTGTCGAATATATAATGAGATCTTTAATTGATAAGCCCGGAATTGTGGTTGCTGGGCATAATAGAAACAATTTACGTTATGCTGATGACACAGTCTTGATAGTAACAAGCCAGAAAGAACTACAGTAAAAGATAGGCATTGTGGTTGTAGAAAGTTAAAGATTGGGCCTCAGATTGAATAATGGAAAGACAGAAGTAATGGTGGTATCAAAGAAAAGAATGATTCCTTAATGTGACATAAAAGTCAATGGTTTTATTTTGAGACAAGTACAGAAATGTAAGTATCTGGGAACATGGATAACATCAGATGGAAGATGCATAACTGAGATAAGAAACAGAACAGGACAGACAAACTGCATTTTATAAAATGAAGATTTTATGCAATATATATATCTGTCATTGAAGGTTAGAAAAAGAATTCTTGCTTGCTACATACATCCAGTTTTAACATATGGCTGTGAATCCTGGACAACTGGTAGGCAGGCTAAATAATTTCTTGAGGCATCAGAGATGTGGTTTTATAAAGGAATGCTTAAAATACCTTGGACAGCCACAACGAGCAACCAAATGGTTTTGAAAGAGGCGGGAGCCTGAACACAACTTATCACAGACATCAGAAGGAGACATCTTTTTTTCAGCCAGGTTATGAGAAGAGGGAAAATGGAACATGTTGTGACCACTGAAAAAAATCTGTGGAAGGAGGGACAGAGGAAGACTATGAGAGAAAATTCTTGACAGTCTTGTTGCATGACATGGTGTGTCAGCACAAAACTAATACATGCTGTAGGAGATCGCGTATTGTGGAGAGGCATGATCGCCCATGCCAGTCGACAAGGCACCTAAAGATGATGATTTATCAACCAGAGGACACGATTACACTGTTATCTTTATCAACACAATCTTAGAATTTGTATTATGCAACATTAGGAAATTGCTACAATCTTATCTTGATTACCATGTGACCTGAGAAAATTATTGATTGTATATTTATTAACATATCTGGAGAAATCAGTACATGACTTGAGGACACTACATTCTTATCAACCTGAACTTAGAACAGCAATTCTCAATCTGTGGGTCGTGACCCTTTTGTGGGTCGAATGACCCTTTCACAGGGGTCACCAAAGACCAATTGAAAACACATATTCACTGAAGTTATGAAGAAGCAACAAAACTAACTGTATGGGAGGGCGTCACCACAACATGAGGAACTCTATTAAAGGGTCACCACAATATGAGGAACTCTATTAAAGGGTCGCCACAACATGAGGAACTCTATTTAAGGGTCGCCACAACATGAGGAACTCTATTTAAGGGTCGCCACAACATGAGGAACTCTATTTAAGGGTCGCCACAACATGAGGAACTCTATTAAAGGGTCACCACAACATAAGGAACTCTATTAAAGGGTCACCACAACATGAGGAACTCTATTAAAGGGTCACCACAACATGAGGAACTCTATTAAAGGGTCGCCACAACATGAGGAACTCTATTTAAGGGTCGCCACAACATGAGGAACTCTATTAAAGGGTCACCACAACACGAGGAACACTATTAAAGGGTCACCACAACATGAGGAACACTATTAAAGGGTCGCCACAACATGAGGAACTCTATTAAAAGGTCGCCACAACATGAGGAACTCTATTAAAGGGTCGCCACAACATGAGGAACTGTATTAAAGGGTCACCACAACATGAGGAACTCTATTAAAGGGTCGCGGCATTAGGAAGGCTGAGAACCACTGATTTAGAACATCATTACATTCTTCTCTTTATTAGCATGTGACCTGAGACAATCTTCTCTTTATTAGTATGTGACCCGAGGACATCATTACATTCTTCTCTTTATTAACATGTGACCTGAGTACTTCATTACATTCTTCTCTTTATTAACATGTGACCTGAGTACTTCATTACACTCTTCTCTTTATTAACATGTGACCTGAGTACTTCATTACATTCTTCTCTTTATTAACATGTGACCTGAGGACATCATTACATTCCTTTCTTTATTAGCATGTGACCTGAGGACATCATTACATTCTTCTCTTTATTAGCATGTGGCCTGAGGACATCATTACATTTTTCTCTTTATTAGTATGTGACCTGAGGACATCATTACATTCTTCTCTTTATTAGCATGTGACATGAGGACATCATTACATTCTTCTCTTTATTAACATGTGACCTGAGGACATCATTATATTCTTCTCTTTATTAGCATATGACCTGAGGACATCATTATATTCTTCTCTTTATTAACATAAACTGAAGACATAAAATTTTTGTTATTGACATGATCTTTGGAAATCTCAACATTCTTATCCTTACCAACATGAACTGATGTATTTACTGTTTTATAATCTTTATTAACATATATCTACACATGATTTTCTTTTAAACTAACATCAAAATTTTAACTCTGCACTGGCTGCTGAAGATAAAGATGAAGCACTCATAGGAATGTCATGAGTGCTGTGATGTGGGTGCTCAATGCAAAACAACTACTAACATGATCTAAGGACATCATAACAGTATCTTTACATTATGAAAGTGATCTGAGATTATCCATTCATGTCCTTTTTAACATGATGTTCTTGTTGTTTGGTCATAGTTGCAGATTCATAGTCACTTAGGTCTCGCAAACGTGTTACTTGTTACATCTCATTGAGCATTCAGTATATCAGTCTGGTCCATGGTCCATCCGCCCTTCACAGTAGCTTTAACTGCAGGTCTATCAGCTTGCTCATTTCCTTGCACGCCTGCAGACCCCGGCACGAAAATGAAACTGATATGTGTCAGCTTTGACAGTTTCAGAGATCCTAACCTTCACAGAGAAAACAAGCAAGGCTGAAAGCCTGCTCCAGCCATAGCTCGGTTTAAAGAAGACAAGCATGGTCAAACTTACCCATTTCTATACAAGTGATGCCCAGGGACCAGATGTCAGCCTTGCCATCATACTGACCCTCGTCCATGGCCAGAATGACCTCTGGTGCCATCCAGTAAGGTGTGCCCACAAAGGAGTTTGCTGGGCAGATCAGCGAGGCTGAGCCAAAGTCAGCTACAACGGGAAGAGAAATAGGTCTGATGTCATGGGGCAGGCGAAAGGTAATGTGAATATATCAGGCTGTCAGTGGAAGGTGAAAGTAATGCCAATATATCAGGCTGTCAGTGGAAGGTGAAAGGTTATGTGAATATATCAGGCTGTCAGTGGAAGGTGAAAGGTTATTTGAATATATCAGGCTGTCAGTGGAAGGTGAAAGGTTATATTAATGTTGGTTTGTTTATTAGTAAAAGGAAACATGAATAGGTCAAGGGGTAACTGAAGGTTAAAGGTCATGTAAATATATATTTTTTGAAAAAAGTAAAGACCCCTTTTCACGCCTTAGGTGCATCGGGCATATAGGAAAAGCATCCCATATTTTTATAGACCAATCGGCACTAGGTGGGTAATGTGGTCAGCATTACGCCAGTCATCTTTACTTTCCCAGGACATACATCCTGGTACACGTTATACTGGGTCGACCTACGACGCCCCATACCATGATAAATATACACGCAGCCAGCAGAGGGTTGGAATTACAAGTCGGACTCACAACACCTAAGCCATGGACGCCGCTATAATAAATAAGAATGTAAACGTGGATCAGACAGTTGTGGGTTCAAGTCTCTAGGGATCTGGATTTTGAAAAAAAAAATTACCTTGGCTCCCAGCCTGAAATGGGTACCAGGTAAAGTCACGGGAAGTAAAGGCAGCCGGTGCAATGCTAACAATAGAGCGCCAACTGGTCTTTAAAATATAGGTCTAGCCCTGTATACCCAAAATGCCTAACATCATAAAAAAGGAACTTTCACTTTTTTTAAATGTGAATATGTGACAGAATAACTGAAAAGTAAAAAGTAATGTGAATGTCACATTTACCCAGGGGCCGACATTTTGAAAACTGGGGCCGTCACCGGCCAGACGGTGGAGCTCCAGCTTAGAAAAATCATTAATACAATACAACTGGCAATAACCCGTAGGCCACTTGCTAGGCCTCTGGGGACCAGATTTGGCACGTGTGCCGCCAGTTGAATAACTCTGTCATCATCATCATCACGTAGCAGGTCCTTTGCAGAACGTCACTCTCACCAGTCTGCCTGAAAGAAACTCTGCCTCTCATGTACTTTCATACTCAAGGAATCACTTATATTCTGTGCCCATCTTCATGTTGGTCAGCCCCTGCTCCTCCTTCCTGGTACCATGCCTTCTGCTATTATTTTTTCCAATCCGTCGTGGCGCTTGATATGACTAAAATACTTCAGCTTCCGAGACAGGATGCTCTTTATTAGCCAATCTTCCTTGATGTTCAGATCTTTTAAGATGTCAGTATTTCTCCTCTTCTTTGTCCAAGATATTCTGAGAATCTTGCAGCTCAAAAGCCCCTATTCTCTTTCTTAAGGACTGAGAGATGGTCCACGACTCACATCCATATCTTCTACAGGGAAGATGCATGCTCTAAAAATTCTAATTTTCATCTCCTTGCTGGTGTTTAACCATAGACTTTTAAGGTTATTTAATCTTTAACTCTGTCATAGGATAACCAAAATGTAGAAAGCAATGTGAAAATATCTGAGCTAAGCCAACAATTCACAAGTTACAAAATGTACACACTAGCGCAAGTATTTAAACAAAAATACTGACACTTTTCACCCAGTGGGGAATCCAACATATCATGCTGGACTCTAGTTACTATATAACAACCGGCAGACGGTGGGACATGCGGTCACAACATCACGCTAGCCACCTTTACTTCCCTTACTTTAATTGGTACCCATTTTAAATCTGTCAACCTGAGAGCCAAGGCAAATACGTCTCAATGCAGATTCAAACTCACAACCTTGGGACTGACGGGAGAGTGACAAGCCACTACACCACTGCAGCTCACTAAAATGGGGGCATATGAAAAGGTACACAAAAACTGCCACGTCGAAGTCACATTTTACGAAAGATTTAAAAGTATTTATTCTACTATTTCTGGTATCCACTCCTTGCTTACAATTTCACAACCGTTTTTCAAGCTGAGTGATGTTAATTCTTAATTCATTCATCCAAACAAATTTCACACAAGCTTACCCAATTTAACGGTGCCATTTTCTGTGAGAAGAATGTTGCCAGCTTTGACATCTCTGTGTATTTTCCCCTGGCTATGGAGGTACATAAGTCCTTCCAGGCCATCCTGGCAAATTGCTGAAACCTCCACCTCTTTCAGTGGCTTCTTGTGAACTGTGGGTACACATTTAGAGATATTGAATCAGATGGGCAATGAAAAGACAAGAGACAACAGTGACTGGTAAACAACCAGAAACAGTCCTTTTCTCCTTCTCTAGTCCTAGTCTGCCTTTCAGTTTCAGGCTTTGAAGAGGCATCAGGTGCCAGCCTGTGCTTGTGCTATAAAAATGCTGGTAGATAAAGCCTTGGATATTCCAACTATCCATGACTTGCTTGGTCGACCTCTGACCCTGCTTCCGATATGACTAAGTGACAAGGCTGTCTGTGTTGTCTATTTGGTTGTAGTCTTGATACATGCCCAAACCCACTAATCTGTTGTCTCTTAATGTAGTTTAGTACTTGTTTCGCTTCAACTTCTTTCCTGATATCATCATTTCTGATCCCGTCTCTTCTAGTTACATTTAGGATTTGTTGCAGACATGACCTTTCAGCTGTTAGATTTTTCCTTTTTCTTAATTGTTTTATGTCCAAGACTAGCACTGATAAAACAATGTTGGCAAAAAATACTGTATAGAATAGTGCTCTTTTGGTGTCAATTATTACATGTTTGTTCTGCAAGTCTTGTGACACCTTTTTCTTCTGCCTTCGGAACCCCCCCCCCCCCCCCCCCCCCCCACAAGAAGCATAGGCCCTCAACCAACCCGTTCTATCCTTCGCTATCACATGCAGCTCTTCCCATCTTTTTAACTTTAGCTCCCTTCTCCATGTATTTTTTGCTCATTTTTATGGCCTGTGGGTTCTGGCGCAAAGACATTCTAGTTATATTGTTCTCAGATTCCTCTATGTGTACCATCCAATGCTAGTCTCTTTTCTTGCCCTTTTGGTCCACTGGAACTTTAGTTCTCTGCCAAAGCTCTACACTAGTGATTCTATCATTTCATTTAATTCCCTCTATTCTGCGCAGGAACCAGGTAATGAATGTTTGTAGTTTATAAGTAAGTTCTCCTTGTTTCCAACATCTGTCCAATGATTTAATTTGCTTTTTTACACCTGTGACCTATCTATACTTTAATTTTTTTGCAAGATGTAAACAAGACAAGTGAATTTAAACATCAATTCAAGTAAGTGTGTGTGTGTGTGCGCTTGCGTGCGTGAAAGAGAGAGAGAGAGAGAGAGATATAGAGAGAGAGAGAGAGAGAGAGAGAGAGAGAGAGAGAGAGAGAGAAGGAGAGAGAGAGAGAGAGAGAGAGAGAGAGAGAGAGAAGGAGAGAGAGATGAATGGTACAATAAACTGTGAGCCTTGTGTGATGTTCAATAAATAAAAAGTGAAAATGACATCACAGGAAAAAACCATTAAACAAATCAAAAAGCAACAACATACCTTCTATAATATCGGATGCTGAACCCAAACAATATTCCATAACGAGCTGGAATTGAAAACAAAATATTTCGTCACTAATAAAATATTCCATTACAATCATAAATCATCAATCCCTTTTACACTGGGAAAATTGTGGGTATAATGTGTCTGCCCTTTACAGCTGTTCTTTCTTCTTTGGACAGATCAGCACTCACTGAGTGATGTGTCAGTTTTATGCCAGCTGCAGTTACTTCCCAGGAAATTTTATAAACGGAGTCCAGGTCAATGAGGACAAATCCTCAACCCAAAAAGATTGGAATTTTGACCTCCCCGTGTGGGTTCTGGGGCCCAGTTTGGTGGTGGTGAGGATACACTCACTATTAAGCCTATCACGAAAGGCGACTAATTAAGATTATGCTGAAATCTGAAGTCCTAGTGATCACAGAAGAAGCAAGGTTCTTATTCCATTAAAAAAAAATTACAGAAGGCAAGAGGTAGACAATGATACAAGTGGGAGAACAACACTAAGAGATGGTCAAAATCAATCTGACCGAGTGTACAACCAAGACAGGAGACAGAAAGTGTGGAGGCGATGCCTGACAGATTGATATAATTAGTGCAGGAGTGACCAGAAGAGAAACACTCAAGAATAAGGTCATAAGAGAAAAGTCAGCACTGAACCAGTTCTAAATTACACACAAAGACAGCATGTCGATTGGTCTGTCCACTCAGAGAGAATACCTTGTGACGTCACACCATATAAGGCATAGACTAAAGAGAAGGACGTAAATTGTGAGGCAGAACAAGAACAATATGGAAAGATAACATCACAGAAACTCTACAAGTGCACTGTATCTACAGTCGATGTGCTCAGAAGAGCCTGAAGCAGAACCTTTCTCTCTCTCTCCAAACACCTGAAGCGGTAAAAGGAAGTGAAGAAGAAGAAAATTATGACGTAGCTCCTTCAATACTCTGATATCTTTTGTGGGCCCATGTCTATCACTTACAAAGACAATACTTCTCTGGCCCCATTCAACATGTGATCTCTCTCTAAAGAAATATATCATCATGATCAAGTGCCGAGCTAACTGGTGTGGGCGATCATGCTTCTCCACAATCAGCAACGGTGTGTATCAGTTCCTGCGCTGACACCCCTCCATGCAATCACAAAAGGCTGTCAAAATCTTCTTGTGTTGTCTTCCTCTGTCTCTCTCCACAGATATTTCCAGTGGTCACAACATGTTCCAGTTTCCATTTTCTCATAACATGACTCAACCATGATGACCCTCTGATGTTTGTGATAAGCTGTCTTCGAGCTCTCGCCTCCTTCAAACATCTGGGTTGCTTTTTTTTTTTTGGCTGTCCAAGAAATTATAAGGATTCTTCTGCAAAACCAAGCCACATGACTAAGGTCTCAAAATACTGTTTGTATTGTTTATTAATTGTCCAGGATTCACAGCCATTTGTTGAGAGAGTCGGTCTCTGTGGCTTAGGCGCTGCAAATGCGCGTTATAATGCCAGGGTGCCCCAGCTGTAGACCTTGCATTAGTTTCGACAGTGGTATCGAGAAGCCAACCGTCTAGAAAGCAATGGCAAACTACTGGACGTAAGTTTGCCTAGAAAAAACCACAACAGCCAAAAACATGCTGTTTTTGGTTCTGCAGCATCATGTAAACGACACACAACTAACCTAATGTTGAGAAAGAAATACATAGATGTACATACAATTGAGAAAAGGGTGTGGGGGGCGGGGGGTGGGGGTGGAGAGGAGAGGAAAAGAAGGTACATACCCATGCTGTGTGTTCCTTGATATAACATCCTTTATACTCTATTGTGTTCTTGTGTTTGAGCTGGCGTAGAAACTTCACCTCCTTGATTATGTCTTGCCATTTCTGTAAAAACACATTTCATCAGCAGAGAAGATATGTGGAGTAGAAACATAGGGAAAGGCTAAAAGAATTACACAGGCGTCTTGAGCTACAACTGGCCAGACAGACATGATTTCTCTACTTCAATTAAGTAACTATGTGATCTTGCTAGTAACTGTTGCAGTTCATGTCATGTGCTGATGAAGGCTTTTAAGCCTTAATGTTCACTTGTCGTATGTGATAATGTGAAGCCGAGTAAAATCATCATCAAGTGCTGTGCCAATAAAAGGGTCAGTCATCATTGGTCAAGATGTGTCCCTGCAGCTTGGCACCTGCAAATGATGAGCACCTGCATTCTACTGAGTTCACCCAGGGGCCAAAATGTTGGAAAATGGGCACTGTCGTGAGCCAGAGGCTCGGGCACAGAAAGATCATTATTACAATACAACTAATTGGCAGGGTATCTGGCAGTCACTTGTCAGGCTGCCAGGTGAATAGCCTTGCTGTCAAGTGTACGTACAGAGAAGCGACATGGCTTGTTCAAATCTGAACCAAGACAAAGCTGTAAGGTACAAATCAAGACAGATGTCAGGTACAAACCAAGACACATCTGTACGGTACAAACCAAGATAAAGCTGTATGGTACAAACCAAGACAAAGCTGTAAGATACAACCAAGACAAAGCTGTGAGGTACACAGAGATATCTGGACTGCATAGCAGCTTTCATCATGGTCACTGACCTCTCAACATTGGTGTTATGATAGAAGCATAGAAAGAGAATATGGCTGGTTTATATGATGTGGTGACAAGTCTCAGATCAGGTCTGCGCTATGGTAAAGTAAAATATTCAAAGATCTGCGGACTGAACAGCCTGAGAAGAGACAAGAAAGACACATAATCAGACAGACTTATAATCAAACTGCTACTGGTACCATCTGTACTGGAAAAAAAAAAAAATTTGCTGGCTGGCTCCCAAAGGTCAAAGGTGAGGAACAGACTACCAAAGGAAATGTCAAAAGGGCGGTGATGTCCACCTCAAGATGCGACCTACAAAAAAGACCCCCGCACGAACGAGAGAGTCACTGTGGTGTAACAGTTTAGACGCCCGCCTGTGAATAGTAAGGTTCTAGACAGAACTGAACTTATTTTTTTTTCTTCAAATGACATTGGCTCCAAGGTCGACCCAGCCTTAAAAAGTACAGGTAAAGTCCTGGGAAGTAAAGGTGGCCGGCATGATGCTGACCACATCACCTACCGAGACTGAGTGCCAACTGGTAAAAATAAAAAAGGCCTAGCCCTATCTGAAGTGACCCTAGTAAGTCACTTTACCATAGCAAATAGAAGAACATGATGCTTTGAGAGAGACCATTCGCATTTCAGTGGAATCAACTCAGTTTCTGTGCTTCATTACATGCTGACATAGCACATCTGACGAGATAGTGACATATGCCAGGCAATAAATTGTGCAATGTACTGCTGGTGTCCACATTATTTCAGTTCATTATGGGTTACACTGTTCTGACTTGCCCAATTTACCTGAAGGAACGGAAAAGGGTCCTCCTCCTTGACTTACACATGGAATGACGACAGCACAGATACTTACATCACTGGATCCTTTGCCACTGTAGGACATCTTTTTGATTGCCACCACCTCCTTGGTAACATTGTTGCGAGCCTGGGGGATTCATTCAGTAACATTAATGAATCATATCTATAACTAACAAAACTTAAGGACATGATTTCCTTGACATTAGCCCACAGGCACAGAAAACAGTTTACAACACAACATCTGGAAGGAAGATGAGAGGAAGGCCAAGAAAGAGATGGATAAATGGTGAAGCAAGAACCTGCAAAAAAGATTAACAGACCCATCACTCAAGCCCCGAGAAGCGCCAGACAAATATGGAAAAACCCAGACACTGGGATACAACCTGGTATTAGTGAGACGACAAAACCGTGACACTGGGCTACAAACTGGTATCAGTGAAACAACAAAACCACGAAACTGGGCTACAACCTGGTATAAATGAGATGACAAAACCACGAAACTGGGCTACAACCTGGTATAAATGAGATGACAAAACCACGAAACTGGGCTACAACCTGGTATAAATGAGATGACAAAACCACGAAACTGGGCTACAACCTGGTATCAGTGAGACAACAAAACCACGACACTGGGCTAACCAGGTCTATTCTTAGATGTCACCCAGGGCTAGCATTCAATGCATCGACTCCACTCTTCTGCATAAAACTCTCAATTTCTGACATGAAGTTTGTTAAGCCCAGCGTTTCTAGCTTCACGTAACAATGCTGATTTTTTATGTTTTCTTTGGATGTCCTCTTCTTCTCACACCATTTGTTTATCATTTTAGTGCCTGTTTTTCAAGTCTTTGCTAAAGTACTTAAGGATCTTGAAATTGTCAAACACATTCACTAACCTTTATGCCACAGAGAATTAACACTTAAAAAAAAAAATCTTGAAGCCAAAACAGAATTTCACTTGCAATTAATTTTTTAACAAGACAATACTCACAAAATAGACAGCGCCAAAACTTCCATGTCCGATTTCCCGCAAGTCACCAAATATTTTTTCTGGGTCATCACTGCAAAATAGTCCTGCAACTTCTGGGTCTTTCAGATTACCAGGCCTCGAGAGTGACGGCATGACGCTCGTCACCAGTGTTCACTCAAAATATGGCAGTGTGCCAGTCTTTACTGCAGGGGACTGGCACTGATTTGTCGTCATTCGATCTACTGTCATCAGAAACTTACAAGTTGATCTGAAAGCACAAAAATCAAGTCAAATTTTTTAGAACCTGCATCTCTCCTGTGGCAACATATGGATGTGAGTTATAGATTTACATTCGTTAAGAAGAAAACAGAGGCTTCTGAGTTGAAATGTTGTTTGTCGTTGTTGTCTGTCTGCGTTCAATAGCTGTAAACTCCAGTGGAGAGACCTGGTTGTTTATCCATTCCTAAACTTTGGCTTTGTTCCAGGACCTGACTTTTGCATGTGCATCCAGTTTACAGATCTTGCTTATTTGCATGCGGACTGGACTGCTGGTTCATTGCCTCTCATCCAGATGCACTCTGACTTTGAAAGAAGCCTCCAATTAGTCTACTCTTATGACATGCTTGTTGGGGAGGCAGTGGGTCTAATTTTCCCCACAACAGGACCCCAGAACCCACATGCGGATGAGGTGAAATGTTACAGAAAGATTCTCAGAATGAAATGGACCAAGAAAAAACAAATACAGACAAAAAATATCCAAACATTAAGGACAATTAGCTAGTAATCAACACTTTGCCTTGGAAACTATTTTGATATTTTATCTTTCCTGTTCTGCCCTTTTCCCCCCAATGGAGAATAGGCTCTCAACCAGCCGACACCAAGTGACTCTATCCTTTACTATTGCATCCAGCTCACCACATGCCTTCCCCATCATTTTACCCCCACTCTCTAGCTCCCTTCTATATGTATTCATTTGTCTGCATTTATTTCCATGCCCCTGTGGGTTCCAGCGTAAAGCCTTTCTAGGTATACTGTTTTCAGGTTTTCTCAATGTGTGTCCTATCTAACATCAGCATCTTTTCTTCACCTCTTGATTCACCTAAATTTGTTTAGCTCTTTCTTAAAGCTCAACATAAGTGATTCTATCACATCAGTTGATTCCCTTCACGCCGAGCACACACCAGTTAACGAATGTTTGTAGTTTATTAGTAAGTGTATAAATGTTGTCCATGTTTGTGCTCCATACAGAGAGCAATGTTACACAGATACAGCGGTAACAAAGCCAGCGGTTGACTACACAGAAAATGGACGCAGAAATATCAGAGATACTGAAAAGTACTTTATACGAAGCGAACAGACGGGCCCGTTCAGAGATCTCTTCTTACTCTGACACCGAGAGGTATTCCAGGAGGAGAGAAGAAATGAAGAAGACAGCAGAACTGATTGGAAATTAAAATTTAAACTATTTAGTATTTGTTTTATAGGGTTTTAACGGCAACTCCAAATTCCAGTATCATTGACTTGATTCTCACGCACAGCCACACAGGCATCATCACTTGAGTCTCCCACACAGGCATATCACTTGATTCTCCCACACAGGCGTCATCACTTGAGTCTCCCACACAGGCATATCACTTGATTCTCCCACACAGGCATCATCACTTGAGTCTCCCACACAGGCATATCACTTGATTCTCCCACACAGGCATCATCACTTGAGTCTCCCACACAGGCATATCACTTGAGTCTCCCACACAGGCATCATCACTTGAGTCTCCCACACAGACATCATCACTTGAGTCTCCCACACAGGCATATCACTTGATTCTCCCACACAGGCATCATCACTTGAGTCTCCCACACAGGCATCATCACTTGAGTCTCCCACACAGGCATCATCACTTGAGTCTCCCACACAGGCATCATCACTTGAGTCTCCCACACAGGCATCATCACTTGAGTCTCCCACACAGGCATCATCACTTGAATCTGCCACACAAACATCTCTTGAGTCTCCCACACAGGCATCCTCTCTTGAGTCTCCCTCACAGGCATCATCACTTGAGTCTCCCTCACAGGCATCATCACTTGAGTCTCCCACACAGGCATCATCACTTGAGACTCCCTCACAGGCTTCATCACTTGAGTCTTCCACACAGGCATCATCACTTGAGACTCCCTCACAGGCTTCATCACTTGAGTCTCCCACACAGGCATCATCACTTAAGTCTACAGCACATGATTCTCCCACACAGGCATCATTACTTGAGTCTGCCACACAGGCATCATCTCTTGATTCTCCCGCACAGGCATCATCATGTGAGTCTCCTGCACAGGCATCATCACTTGAGTCTCCTGCACAGGCATCATCGCTTGAGTCTTCCCCACAAGCATCATATGGTCTCTACAATACTGGCCAGACTTTGTGCTATGGAGAGGAGGAACTTACCTGGCCTGAAGTGGTCTTATAGGCTGCGACTCCCAAATTCCCTAAAGTACAGTATACCACTATCCTCTGGAAAAAAAGGAAAGTGCCAACAATTTGCTTCTTCTGCTTCATTTTCCTCGTTTGCAAACTCTGCTTGTTCATCCACACCCGGACTTTGATTCTGGTCAAGTACTCAAACTTCCATGCGCATCCATGTCGGTTGTCTATTCCTCCCCGTACAGGCGGATATGCACCCTGACTTGTATTGCTGTTTACCTTTTACCTTCAATGTTTCTCTTCAGTATGGTTTTCAAACCATTAAAAAGTGTTAAGATTTTTTTTTAATTGTTACGTCTTTTAATGTGAACAAAATATTGTAACTCCCTTTATTTTATTTCTTTCAGCAACTCTTTTTACTTCACCTTTTCAGAATCGCTGTATTTGACTATGTTTTCAAGAAATTTAACCTAATCTTCTGTTGTGTGCCCAACAGGTATCTTTTACTTCACTAATAAATTCGCTAAAAAAGGCATTTATCTACCTGTTTAAATTATTTTCCAAATTAGATAAAGCTGTATGAAAGGAGTAAACAATACACATGAACAGGTTCCCCCGTGTGGGTTCCGGGGCCCCATTGTAGGGGAAAACAAGAATACACTCACTGCCTCCCCAAAAGCATGGCGTAAGAGTCAACTCTTTTTCTTCTTCGCGTTCATCAGCTGTAGACTCTGGCGGAAAGTTCTGGTTGTTCGTCCACTCCTGGACTGCAGTCCTGCTCCAGAACCTGAGTGTTGGTGCATCAGTTTTACAGATCTGATTCACTTGAATGCAGACTGGTCGTTCCTTGCCTCTCAGGCAGATGCACTCCGACTTCAAAGGAAGCTCCCAATTAGTCGACTCTTACGACATGCTTTTGGGTAGGCAGTGGGTCTATTCTTGTTTTCCCCACAATGGGGCCCCGGAACCCACACGGGGTAGAGTCGGGTAGAGTCAACTAATTGGGGAACTTCCTTTGAAGTCGGAGTGCATTTGCCGGAGAGGCAAGGAACCAACAGTCTGTATTCAGGAGAATGAGACCTGTAAAACTGATGCACATGCAACACTCAGGTTCTGGAGCAGGACTGCAGTTCAGTAGTGGACGAGCAGCCAGAACTTTCCGCCAGAGTTTACAGCTGGTGAACGCGAAGAAGAAGAAGACATGAACAGGTGAATTCTGGCATGAATTATACAAGCCTTTTGTCACAAGCTCCAAGGCCAAACTTTTAATTTAAGTTAAAACTAAACTTCATTTTACTGGAATTAAGAGTGAAGGACAACTAGTAAAAACAAACATTTCTAAGGGCTAATTACCTCGTAGTAGGCTAGCCAAAATCATGTGATACATGCACTATGTCACCCACTGAAGTGCTTCAAGTTTTTGACTAAGCCTATGAAGAAAGGTTTGAATGACGATCAACATCATGGCACAAGGTTGTAGCCCATAAGGGCCCCATTCTACTTCTGACTCAAGCTTGAAGAACCTCAGCACAGGGCAAGAACTCCAATGCACTAGCGAGGATCCTGAAATACTTTGGGTAGATTTTTAACTCCAAATTCTGCAGGGCAACTCTGTTAGGCTACCCTTTTTCGATTTCCAACTGCCAAGGGATTTGTTAAGTGAGCAACAATACACACGGGCATCCAATCATACTACCTATAGACAATGGAAATTACTAGTCCACATAAAAAAAATCCCAGCTTTTACTTGGGCTCTAACTCCAGCACTTGAGGCTGATGCCATGCCTCAAAACTACGCAGCTCAACCCCCCCCCCCCCCCCCCCATATTTGAAGAAAATATGAAGCATATGAAACAAAAACTAATTAGTTACTGATTTAGCTTATTTTGCAATCTTTTAATAATCACCAATTTTTTTTTTTAACATGTAAACTTTTCTAATGTTTTAATGGAAGTCACAGTTCCAGTTTCTTTAAAAAAAAAAAAAAAATCTTGGCCACCTTCAACCTGCTGCTGGCTAGCCGACGCTGCTAACGGTCTCCGGTTATATTTGTAGGTCTGGTTTATTTATGCCACTTTCATGCCTAAAATTCTGGTATCTGTGCCGTCTCTGGGCTTAATCCTTCTTCCCTCCAAGTCAGACCGCTCAATCCTTTTCCTGTTGTCAACTGTGTTCTTTCTGATGTTTTAGGCTTCTAATTTGGCCAGGCGTAACTCGTAGGGGAACATTTGGCTTTCTACCGAATAACGGTCCCAAATTATTGAGGCCGAACATATACCCCAACAGGGCCTCAGTCACGTGTCAATTGCGCACTTCCAGCGGCTACAACAGAGAGTATCCCCCCACGCCGCTCGTGGGGCGTGAATTAGGGTTAAACTAGATGGGTGGGACTCATGAGCAGCAGCTACCGCATCTCCTGCAGCTCCCTTCATTTTATTTGCTCGTAAGTCCCAACCATCTACGAGCGGCGTGGGAGATACTCTCGGAGGTGGCGGAAGTCTGCACTTGACATGTGACTAGAGTATATTTTAGGCTTCGATAATTTGGGACCGTTATTCAGAAGATAGCAGAATATTTTACTTTGCCAAAAACTATTGAAAACAGTTTTGATAGATCCAAAATGTGAAAAATGTTCGCGTGTGACCATATTGGTCTTTAAGTTGTCTTCCTGTAATAAGAGCAGGTTAGGCATGTCATGGTGATATGGATGAAATGAAGTCTCATATTC